ACCCCAGCAGCACCCCAGCTGCTCTGCCCCAGGCGTCCCCAAGAGCAGCTGGAGTGCTGCCGGGTTGGTCTCGCCACACCAAGGGTTGGCGCTACCGGACCAACCCGACAGCACTCCAGCTGCTCCGCTTCAGGTGTCCCGATTCAGCCGCTGCTGAAACTGACCAGCAGCGGTGTAATCAGGGTTGCCTGAGGCAGAGCCGGACTATTGAAAGTGGGGGCTATAAGGGGTCTGGGATGGCATCCCCCCCACTCTACCCCAGACCCCCTCATAGCCCCCCCTTCCGATAGTCTGGCATATCTGATAATCCGGCACCCCCGGGGTCCTAAAGGTGCCGGATTATCGGAAGTTTACTGTAATTGTTGCTCTGAGCTGGGGTAATGCCAGTCACCAGAAGTAAGGGGCACATGCCCCTCATTTCAGTGCTCCCAAAGTGTCATGAAAAAGTAAACATCTGACTCAAATATAGACATGAAGGAAAGTATGTACAGTAACTCTGGGACTGCAGGGGATGGAGGTGAGATTTGGAGCCAGTTGGCCTGCAGGGAAGAGAGGACATTGAGGCTACATCTACATTATGAGTTTTGCCGGAAGTGGCAGTGCAAATGAAGCGCGGATTAGCATTTTCTTGCACTTGATTTGCATACTCTCTTCTGGTCCATTATTGCGCTAGGGGTTTTTGTGCAAAAACCCTAGCATAAAAATGGATTGGAAAAGAGTATGCACATGAAGCGCAAGAAAATGCTAATCTGCACTTCATTTGCACTGCCTCTTCTGGCAAAACTCGCAGTGTAGACTTAGCCTGAGATTGGAGGGGGAGCTGAGTGAAGGGAGACTGGAGCTACCTGGACAAGGAGACACATTAGGAAACAGTGCGTGTGGTAGGGGAGGAGATACCAATCTTATGAGGAGCTAGAGTTCAGAAGGGAAACTGGGAATAGATAGGCATAAGGTAGGAGGTAGAAGGACAGATTGAATGAGGAGCCAGCAGTGGAGAAACTGGGTTTTGCTGGACAAGGACACTGGGACTGGGTGTGGGAAAAGGAAGAGAATGGGAATGAGGAGGAAATTAGACTCAAGAGTGTGCTCAGAGGGGGAAGACTAGGATGGGCTTAACAAGGAGACTAGGGTGAGATGTTTAAGAAGCAGAGACTAAGACTGGAACAAGGAGTTAGGAGTGGAGAAGAGACAAAACAGGGACAGGTTGGAGATGATGAGACAGAAGAATCAAACTTGGGGAGTGTGAATGAAAGAGTTAGCATGCACACAACACTACCCCCCGGAACCCAAGATTTTGGAGTCTCGCTGTCAGCAAGTTTCTAGGAAATTCACTGGCAAAATGTGTGTCAGCACCCTGTTCACAGTGAGATTTGACAACCTGCTATTATATCTGTTACTCCATTAGTTCAACTGGTAGAGGCCTGTATGGTGAATCTAAAGGTTCCAACTTTGCTGACGAACCACAAAGATGTAATTATGATGCCAGATGATGGAATTTCCTTTTTCAGTATATATATTTTAAAAAAACCAGAAAATCATATACAAACTTTGTTTAAAGAACACTAGCAAGTTTGCAAAATTGAGCACTCAGAAGTTAGGAATTGGAAAAATTAAGGTTGTCTGAACCCTATCCATGCTTAAACTGAAGCAGACATGCTGCAGAAAAATAGTATGATTGTGTTAAAGACTCTAATACCCTGGTGTCCAACCAGTTCTTAAGCAGTAGCCACTAGCAAACTAGACACGCTCAACGAGCCAAATAGCCACATGTGGCTGGTGTGTTGGACACCACAGCTCTAATAGAATGCTCATGTGCAAAGGAACTGTATTAAGGCTGCTTAGGCAACCTTAATTTGGACATATTCTAATTTTTGAGTGTTTGACTTTGCAACTTTTATTATGGTTTTTAAAAAAATGTTGGTGCACAATACAGATGCCCACCAAGACACATAAGATTGTAAAAATACATACATCTTTTTGAGAGAGAGATAGTAATATAATCAGGGTACAGAACTAGAAGCAAGCCCAAAATCCTAATCTAGTTATTGTTCCAGAATTTTAACCAACACTCTGCAATTTACATGCTATATATAACCTTAGACAACTCATTCAGGCCCAGATCCTCAAAGTTATTGAGGCACTTAATGCCCACTGATTTCAATGAGCATTGGGGTACCTAGGTATCTGTGAGGATCTGGGTCATAATCTCTTTGAATTTCAATTTTTCTATCTGTCTCAGAGCTGGAAGGGACCTTGTGAGGTCATTGAGTCCAATCCCCTGCAGTCATGGCAGGGCCAAGTACCATCCCTGACAGATTTGCCCCACATCCCTAAATGGCCCCCTAAAGGATTGAACTCACAACCCTGGCTTTAGCAGGCCAATGCTCAAACCACTGAGCTATCCCTCCCCCAACAGCTACAGACAATACAAAGAAGTGCTGGGGAGATTAGTGATTTTGCAAAGAGTTCTGAAGTTGAAGAGCACACTATAAACAGCAAAGTATTATTATTTTGGCTCTTCCAGTCTTGCAGTTTAATCTAATCATTCCAAAACCTCAAAAAAAGACATCCCAACTGGAATTTGGTTCCCCAAGTAGATCAGAAGTTAAAAAGGGACTTCCTATTTAAACTGAACCAATGCCTCCCAGAAAACCTCATTTGCCTTGATAGCACTTTCCCAACCAAAGTGACTCTCTGAGCAGAAGGAGGCAGCTTTGATTTTCAATTTAGCTGTTCTCCTGACATTCCCACCTTTAGAAAGCATTGCTGCAACTGCACTAGCAAATATGGGAATGACACAGGAATAGAAATATGAAAGAGTTTCTGTGTCTCATACATATCTCAGAGAGATACAGAGCATGACAAACCAATCAGTGCAATGGCTGATTGAATAAGAGACAACATGTTCCAATCAACACAGACAATTCAGATTAATGAAAGACAAATCAAAGTCAGTTGATACAGGCAATTGCAAGTTTAGTCAACTTACCATCATATAAGGGTCATCCACAATGGGATAAATGTAATCTGTTGTCTGGACCAAAGACAAACCACCATGTCTTAAAGGAATGACACAAGTGTCCATCCCAATTCCTGCAAGGACAGGAAACCATCAATCAACTGAATAATTTGTTCATCCCTCAGATGACTGTATTTCTCAATAAAAGGGAATTTGTAAAACAGGCCTATGAAATACAAGCCACAGCCAAAAGAACAACCATCAAGATTTTGTTCCTTACAAGAGGCATATCAGAAACAAATGAAACTGAGAGACAAAGAAAAACTTGAGAATGAGACAGGAGACTAAAGTGGGGAAGGTATAAATGTAAGGAGTAAACATCCAGGAGTTACAATTTGATGTAATTTAATATATATAACAAGTTTAATTGTGATGGGAGGTTTCTCCTTTTTTGAAAACATTTGCCCTGTACCATCTCATTATGGGGAAAACCTGGCAGATGTACTTCAAGTCTGCTAGGTGGCTGTTCTTGACTACCTTGCCAAACATATAAGAGTAGTTCTAATCTTTAACAATGAACTATCATAACCATTATGACAAATCTCAAAAGGGATGTAGCCTTCTTGCCGAAGAAAAGTGGTCAGGATCAATCTCTAACTAGGTCCTTAAGACAGTCTTGCTGGCTGTTCAGTCTAAATCTGTTAGCAGCAGTCTTATGCCAAAATTTGGTACCCACATGATCATTAATTGTATAGCAGCATTCCTTGGTAAACAAGCAGGCTACGTCTACACTGGCATGATTTTCTGAAAATGCTTTTAACGGAAAAGTTTTCCGTTAAAAGCATTTTTGGAAAAGCACGTCTAGATTGGCAGGATGCTTTTCCGCATAAGCACTTTTTGCGGAAAAGCGTCCGTGGCCAATCTAGACGCGCTTTTCCGCAAAAAAGCCCCGATCGCCATTTTCGCGATCGGGGCTTTTTTTGTGGAAAACACTACTGTGCTGTTTACACTGGCCCTTTTGCGCAAAAGTCTTTCGGAAAAAGACTTTTGCCCAAACGGGAGCAGCATAGTATTTCTGGAAAAGCACTGACGATCTTACATGAGATCGTCAGTGCTTTTCCGGAAATTCAAGCGGCCAGTGTAGACAGCTGGCAAGTTTTTCCGCAAAATCACATGATTTTGCGGAAAAACTTGCCAGTCTAGACACAGCCGCAATGTAATCCATTGGTCTTCCCTCCTAGTAAGTCCATACCAAGAAAGCTGCTGAAACTGAACAACTCTGATGAAAGAAACGGTCAATGAATATCCTTAATATATAGTTCTCCCCACTTTGAAAAAATGCTAAGTCTACTACAGTCTGTATCTTAGGACCTCATTCTGCAAACTAGTTCATGCACATGAACACCGTGAAACTATATGAAGCCGTACTGAGCTCAGTGAGGTTTCAAAGGGGCACGAGATTCTGCAATACATTAACAGTGCAAAGGATTAGGGCCAGAGTACCCAAATCTGCAATCTTACTCATGGAAGTATTTCTGACAGCATTTGGGACTAATATGAGTGAGTCATAACTACTTGTGGAAGTAGGACCCAATTCTATAAATCCTATTATTGCTATTTTCCTTCCTAACAGCATCTCAGAAGTACCATCCATATGTGCAGATAAAGTCACTGGCCCTTTCTTTAAATGCACAAAACATCAAAAGACATACTACCAAATTCATTTGTTAAAGCAATATTCATCTTAAAGCACACTGTAAAAGATAAGTAAGCCTATTAATAACAGGTGAGAAAAATTCCTTCCAGCTTTTAACTTTATTGCTGCTCATAAGGCTGAATAAAAACTAAGCTAGCAATTCTATTGTTGCTTAGAGCCAGTTTTGCTTTCTAGATCCCATACTGAGTTGAAAAACTGCAGATTTAAATGCAACTAAATGAACACTTTTTTTAAAACTTAAGAAAATATTTCTATTATTTAAAGTGCCACACAAACATTAAATCTTGGGCCAAAATGAGATCAGAGTGTCCCTTATCATGGTATTCTCTTAGCTTACATTGCCACTCAGCCTCACACACAATTCTTTCATAGGCAGTCCCCGGGTTACATGGATCCCTACTTACAAATGGGGTGAGGCAACCCCACACTAGCTGCTTCCCCCCAGCAGACCAGGGAGACGCGAAGCTAGCGCCCCCCCCCCCCTCCATAGACTAGGGAGATGCGGAGCGGCTTTTCTCAGAAGACACCTCAGCTTGAGAATAAAGGACCGAGGGAAGTGAGGTGTGGGAGAATAAAACTGAGCTCTGGAGAAATGTTTGGCTAGAGTTTCCCCTACAATATGTACCAGTTCCGACTTACATACAAATTCAACTTAAGAACAAACCTACAGTCCCTATCTTGTACGTAACCCGGGGACTGCCTGTATATGAGATAAACAAGGGCAATCTTTGTAAGTGGGAACATTGGCTTTCAACTGATTCTGCCCTCTTCGGTAAAACCATGTTGTAACCTGTTAGTCTAATAAGAGCTTTCTAGGTACATTAAAATTGTTTAACGTGAGCTCACTGTATGCTAGATTAAATAATAGTAAAATATTTTCCAAAAAAACCAAACAACTAAGTTGATAAGCCTGAAGTGTAGGAGTTTCTAAAATTTGCACTGTGGAGAAGATATTAAATACATATGGCTAAATAAACAGATGAACTGAATTAAAAACCCATCATCATTAAATATTTTATCTTGTCTAATGTATTTATATCAATACAGTATTAGGAACTGTAGCTGGTATCAAAATATCCATATTGACCCTGTTCCCTGTAAGGGTTGCTTCCGCAGGTTACTCTTCAGTTCTCCTTGCATCACTATATAAATGCCAAAGAGAAAGCAAATCTGGCAAGAGACAGATAGGCTGTCTCTACAAGACCTTTCCCATGAAACCGCTACAGGCAGAACAGAAGTTATAAAGAACATGACACAATGAGGGGACTGAAAGAAAAAAAAAAACCCACACACCACACTCTCTTTTGGCTCACAATGGTGGATTCAATTTAGAAATGAAGAGAGACTGGGTTTGGAGCCGGATAATTATTTACAGTCAATTCTCAGTTTCACTTTAAGTCAGAAAATAATTGCAATTTTTTTTTTTGGGGGGGGGTTTCAGCATTCATTACTTATTCTGCATTCACTGAGGAAATGCTAACATGGATACATTTGTTTTTAGAAATCAATTGTTACTATTTTGGTTACTGAACTTCCACATAATTCATGTACAAGAATCTATTCGTGAAAAAACTATTGTTCTTCTCATAAGAACTTTCTCTCTACTTTTAGGTTCATTATAGCGCTCCTTTTTTCCCTTTAGTTAAATACTTTGCAGAAAGGATATTTATAATTACAGTACAAGCATAATAATTTTGTATTAATCAGTGCTATTAGGTGACAACTGCAGGTTTATCCTTTACATTCCTGGACACAGTGTATGCATTGGACAATACCTTAATTTTAAATAAATTAACAAACATAAATTAATAGGCTAACAGCTAACTTATGATACTGCTCTCTCCCGGTTTCATAAAAATAGATCTTGTTACTAGAGGGACAAATACTCACCCAGCCTAGGCATAACTGCTCCGAGAAACTGTTCATCTTCTTGAAAATGGTTTTCTTGTAGGGACTCAAGCAGTTTCTGTAAAACATCTTGAGGCACTTTACAACCTGTGCCTTTAAGTTCAGTGAATCGAGTCAGACGGAAGCTCTTGTCCAGTTCATAAGTTTCTGGGTTAAAGGACTCCCGAACAGACATGGTTCTCTCACAGAGAATGCTAGCTTCCCCCCCACCTTGAGCAAACGTATATGTTGATTTCTCTGCTGATCAACCTAGTTAGAAAAATTGGGATTAGAAAATTCTTAGAACCTACAAGACAACAGGTTCGTGTATATACTGTAAATGCATACATCAATGGGGGAGGGGAGAGGCTGGAAGAATCTTTTTTTCCCCCCCTTCTCTTCCCTGTTTTAAAAATAAGTAAAGCAAAGCACTGAACAGAGATTATCTGTTACAAGAGACAGGCATATTCCACAAGGTGAGTTTGGGCTACAAGGGAATGGTTCCCTCTTCCATCTTCTGACACGTAACTATACGCTGTCAGGTCAGTCAGAGGAGTGATATGACTTTTCCCCTACAGTTATGGTACAGCGATGTTTCATTTAAAAAAAATAAAATAAAAAAAAAACCACCCCAACCACAAGTCTACACACAGACCTCATTTCAGGGGGGGAGGGGAGAGTACAGTTTTTAGTTACTAGGAACAACCTTTTAGGGGAGCTTCAGGCCCTGATCCTGCAAGATTTCAAGGCACAAAGCTACACTAAACTCATTACATCTTTCAAACAATGGGGCAAGTTCAATTCTGATTGTAAGAAAGCATAACTCATTACTCACATTGGTGTAAACAGAAATACACCTGTTCACACCAGTGGTCTATTTTCCCCAGAGGACATATGTGCTGGTGATATAAAGTAATAAGAAAGGAAAATATTTAATCAGGATATTTCCTCTAAAAACATATTACCTTTACATTTTGATGTTCATACACTAAAGTTATTCAAAAGACACAGAGTTCTTGCCTTTCAGGACTTTTTTTGGAAATGAAAATATTTAATCATAGTACAGTAACTGCCCATTAGAAAGTTAATGTGAAAAGACACTGATGAAATTTAATAAAATTCTTTAAAATGCACATCTAATTTTAGAACATTTTCCACTCTGAGTCAGACATATAACACACTCCAAAACTAATCAGAGGCGTAGCTGAAGTATTTAACTTCTCAGGCATGGTAGTGATATGGTGCAATTTATCTTCCTGGGAAAAAAAGCTTTTCTGGAATTAAAGTGACCTACATACTGCAGTGTCTCAAAAAGCAAACATCATACCTACCAAAAGGGTTCAACATGCAGCACTGACTGACTGCTGATTTGGTTGTTACTGAGTTAAGCAGAGAAGTTTAACACCACTACTGGCCACTAATCAGTACATTTGGTTCTATTAAAACCCCTCCCCATCTATAGCCTTCTGTAACTGGGTCCCCCAAAATATTGCTTATCATCAAACTTCGTAATCTCCTAACAAGTTCTACAAACTCTCAGGGATGTTATTTTATTGAATGTGGCACAGAACGGCAATTCTAGTTGTAAAGTCTTTGAAAACTTATGATCAGGAACTGAACTCCCCTTTTACAGTGTTTTCCCTCCTTCCCTAGGAGGCGTGTCACTTATTTAAAACAAATCTTCAGAAGCCCAAGTTTGGGCAGTAATCCAAGTGCTCATTACAAGAACGTGTCTTGGATGAGCAATGCATTTCGTTTGTAAATGTCTGTCTTCAATGCTAGGCAATAAAAACTAGTAATCTGAGATAATACTAACTAGAAAACAACCTGTAAAGAGAAATAGGAGAAAAGTGGCTTTTAATGAAAAGAGATTTTTGAACTCACCAGCCTACTTATTTCCAGAAAAATTGTAAAAAGTAGCATTTTCCAAGTTGGGCAACACTTCCCTTCACTCACCCAAAGACTGGTGTACTCTTAGCACCCCCCATCCACTTCTCTAGGAAAGGATTTAGAGGCCAAAGGCAACAAGCAGAACTTTTTGCATAGTCTGAGTCACAACACTCACTTAAATATATTCTCATCTGAAAAATAAATTTTGAGCTAGACAAAGTTATTTAGACAAAAAACTCAATAGGGAAAGGAACATAAAAGGCTTTTTTATGAAGATCTGAAGGTGCTGCAAGCAATAATTTCTTACAGGGTCATGGAAGCAACCTTACAAGATCCAATTTCATGCGACTTTGGCACCCTGCACAAACATGCATTTCTAGCATTAAACGTATTTGCAAAATAAACAACCCTCCCTATTAGAGCAAATCCCCCCATACGCCAGATGCTGTTACTTTAAAACAATCGCAAATATTAAAAGTTTAACCCTCGCCACTGTATCACCCTAAGCATAAACAAAACCATACGTTGAGGGGTGGAGAAAAAAAAAATACTGTGGAACAGGACCAGGTACCTACCCAAAATAAACCCAAGGACGGGGAATAGCAACACAAGTGAGGGATATCTACAGGGTGAAAAACTGCAACGAGCATTTCTCCATTGAGTGTAGCGCTGAGGGCTGCGGATAGACATGGCTCTGGGACACCTTAAATTTCAAGCTGCTGCCTTTAAAGGCAAGCAAGGGCCTCTACTGCTGCTCTTTGTGCAGCCGGCAGCCCCGTGGGGAGTGGGGGTGCAACTCCCCGGGTTGCCCGGCCCTGCAGCCCCGTGGGGAGTGGGGGTGCAACTCCCCGGGTTGCCCGGCCCTGCAGCCCCGTGGGGAGTGGGGGTGCAACTCCCCGGGTTGCCCGGCCCTGCAGCCCCGTGGGGAGTGGGGGTGCAACTCGCCGGGATGCCCGGCCCTGCAGCCCCGTGGGGAGTGGGGGTGCAACTCCCCGGGTTGCCCGGCCCTGCAGCCCCGTGGGGAGTGGGGGTGCAACTCCCCGGGTTGCCCGGCCCTGCAGCCCCGTGGGGAGTGGGGGTGCAACTCCCCGGGTTGCCCGGCCCTGCAGCCCCGTGGGGAGTGGGGGTGCAACTCCCCGGGTTGCCCGGCCCTGCAGCCCCGTGGGGAGTGGGGGTGCAACTCGCCGGGATGCCCGGCCCTGCAGCCCCGTGGGGAGTGGGGGTGCAACTCCCCGGGTTGCCCGGCCCTGCAGCCCCGTGGGGAGTGGGGGTGCAACTCCCCGGGTTGCCCGGCCCTGCAGCCCCGTGGGGAGTGGGGGTGCAACTCCCCGGGTTGCCCGGCCCTGCAGCCCCGTGGGGAGTGGGGGTGCAACTCCCCGGGTTGCCCGGCCCTGCAGCCCCGTGGGGAGTGGGGGTGCAACTCGCCGGGATGCCCGGCCCTGCAGCCCCGTGGGGAGTGGGGGTGCAACTCCCCGGGTTGCCCGGCCCTGCAGCCCCGTGGGGAGTGGGGGTGCAACTCCCCGGGTTGCCCGGCCCTGCAGCCCCGTGGGGAGTGGGGGTGCAACTCCCCGGGTTGCCCGGCCCTGCAGCCCCGTGGGGAGTGGGGGTGCAACTCCCCGGGTTGCCCGGCCCTGCAGCCCCGTGGGGAGTGGGGGTGCAACTCGCCGGGATGCCCGGCCCTGCAGCCCCGTGGGGAGTGGGGGTGCAACTCCCCGGGTTGCCCGGCCCTGCAGCCCCGTGGGGAGTGGGGGTGCAACTCCCCGGGTTGCCCGGCCCTGCAGCCCCGTGGGGAGTGGGGGTGCAACTCCCCGGGTTGCCCGGCCCTGCAGCCCCGTGGGGAGTGGGGGTGCAACTCCCCGGGTTGCCCGGCCCTGCAGCCCCGTGGGGAGTGGGGGTGCAACTCGCCGGGATGCCCGGCCCTGCAGCCCCGTGGGGAGTGGGGGTGCAACTCCCCGGGTTGCCCGGCCCTGCAGCCCCGTGGGGAGTGGGGGTGCAACTCCCCGGGTTGCCCGGCCCTGCAGCCCCGTGGGGAGTGGGGGTGCAACTCCCCGGGTTGCCCGGCCCTGCAGCCCCGTGGGGAGTGGGGGTGCAACTCCCCGGGTTGCCCGGCCCTGCAGCCCCGTGGGGAGTGGGGGTGCAACTCGCCGGGATGCCCGGCCCTGCAGCCCCGTGGGGAGTGGGGGTGCAACTCCCCGGGTTGCCCGGCCCTGCAGCCCCGTGGGGAGTGGGGGTGCAACTCCCCGGGTTGCCCGGCCCTGCAGCCCCGTGGGGAGTGGGGGTGCAACTCCCCGGGTTGCCCGGCCCTGCAGCCCCGTGGGGAGTGGGGGTGCAACTCCCCGGGTTGCCCGGCCCTGCAGCCCCGTGGGGAGTGGGGGTGCAACTCGCCGGGATGCCCGGCCCTGCAGCCCCGTGGGGAGTGGGGGTGCAACTCCCCGGGTTGCCCGGCCCTGCAGCCCCGTGGGGAGTGGGGGTGCAACTCCCCGGGTTGCCCGGCCCTGCAGCCCCGTGGGGAGTGGGGGTGCAACTCCCCGGGTTGCCCGGCCCTGCAGCCCCGTGGGGAGTGGGGGTGCAACTCCCCGGGTTGCCCGGCCCTGCAGCCCCGTGGGGAGTGGGGGTGCAACTCGCCGGGATGCCCGGCCCTGCAGCCCCGTGGGGAGTGGGGGTGCAACTCCCCGGGTTGCCCGGCCCTGCAGCCCCGTGGGGAGTGGGGGTGCAACTCCCCGGGTTGCCCGGCCCTGCAGCCCCGTGGGGAGTGGGGGTGCAACTCCCCGGGTTGCCCGGCCCTGCAGCCCCGTGGGGAGTGGGGGTGCAACTCCCCGGGTTGCCCGGCCCTGCAGCCCCGTGGGGAGTGGGGGTGCAACTCGCCGGGATGCCCGGCCCTGCAGCCCCGTGGGGAGTGGGGGTGCAACTCCCCGGGTTGCCCGGCCCTGCAGCCCCGTGGGGAGTGGGGGTGCAACTCCCCGGGTTGCCCGGCCCTGCAGCCCCGTGGGGAGTGGGGGTGCAACTCCCCGGGTTGCCCGGCCCTGCAGCCCCGTGGGGAGTGGGGGTGCAACTCCCCGGGTTGCCCGGCCCTGCAGCCCCGTGGGGAGTGGGGGTGCAACTCGCCGGGATGCCCGGCCCTGCAGCCCCGTGGGGAGTGGGGGTGCAACTCCCCGGGTTGCCCGGCCCTGCAGCCCCGTGGGGAGTGGGGGTGCAACTCCCCGGGTTGCCCGGCCCTGCAGCCCCGTGGGGAGTGGGGGTGCAACTCCCCGGGTTGCCCGGCCCTGCAGCCCCGTGGGGAGTGGGGGTGCAACTCCCCGGGTTGCCCGGCCCTGCAGCCCCGTGGGGAGTGGGGGTGCAACTCGCCGGGATGCCCGGCCCTGCAGCCCCGTGGGGAGTGGGGGTGCAACTCCCCGGGTTGCCCGGCCCTGCAGCCCCGTGGGGAGTGGGGGTGCAACTCCCCGGGTTGCCCGGCCCTGCAGCCCCGTGGGGAGTGGGGGTGCAACTCCCCGGGTTGCCCGGCCCTGCAGCCCCGTGGGGAGTGGGGGTGCAACTCCCCGGGTTGCCCGGCCCTGCAGCCCCGTGGGGAGTGGGGGTGCAACTCGCCGGGATGCCCGGCCCTGCAGCCCCGTAGGGAGTGGGGGTGCAACTCCCCGGGATCCCCGGCCCTGCAGCCCCGTGGGGAGTGGGGGTGCAACTCGCCGGGATGCCCGGCCCTGCAGCCCCGTGGGGAGTGGGGGGTGCAGCTCCCCGGGATCCCCGGCCCTGTACTCCCTTAGGGAATGGGGATGCAGCTCCCCGGAATCCCCGGCCATGAAGACTTCCGGGATCCCCGGCATGTCACCCCCCGCCCTCCGGAAAGGGGGTGCAACCCCCAGGGATCCCCGGCCCTGCCACCACCGGGAAGAAGGATTCCCCTTTGCGGGGGAACTGCAAACTCGACTGATTTTCTCACGTGTAGTTGTGGGGAGTGGAGTGTGAGAGGCTCGCTAACTCCACTAGGTTTCTTGCTGTATACATCTGAGAGAGCCAGCCATACACCAGGTGGGGGATTGCTAACGTCTTTGAGTCTTCTGTGTGAACCTGGGAGAGTGGGGAATCCTAAGCATGCAGCTAGCAGATGCAAATTGCACTGTGTTTTGCATGATATTTTGCGAATTGTTTGAAAGATTTCTAGCTCGGTTTTGATATGTTTCCGTCTAGATTATTTCAGTTTCAAAGCACATTCTTCTTCCAGAGAGAAGTATTAATCACTTTGTAAAAAAAAAAACCTCTTTAATTCATACCAACACATAGAGCTTGAAAAAAAATCCAAGCAGGATTTTAGGATTTTTCTTGGAGAATGCCATTACATCTACAAAAGAAAAATGAGAAGTCCAGTGGCACCTTATAGACTAACAAAATACATATATATAGTATCATGAGCTTTTGTGTGCAAAACCCACTTCTTCAGATCATATAAGGTGATTTTGAGTGTTAATTTAAGTTTTCTTTTAAAAAGCAAATGCTACACATTGCTAGCCCTTAGGTAGCCCAAATAACCTGTCCTGGAGGGTCAGTAATGCAATGTTGTCTTTTACACAGGAAAATGTACCAACATAATTATACCACTTTTACTCCGTGTGTGGGCACTCTTTTCCACTTTGTGCTTATACCACTTACAGTGCGACAAAACTGCGGGGAGACAGGGTAGTGGTGCAGTTATGAGCAGAGAAACTTTGGGCAGTGTGTCATTAGCTGGAGCATGGGTCCCTCTACCCCAGAAGAGGTCTCTGCATACTTGTGGAAGGGGAGAAGACAGAAAATGGTACTATTTCATTAGGGAGGATTGGCTCTTGCCACCCAGCAGAGGATTTTGGAAAGATTGGAGGCTAGTTCTAAAACCACTCCAGCGGAGGGTTTTTGCAGGATATGAGTGTGGACTCCCCATAAGAAACCTTCTCTGATGACTTGGTAGATCTGCCCACCCAAGAGCAGATTGGTGGGGTAGTATTGACAGGGAGCCCATTACTGTGGGTCTTCAAGATGGCTGTGACTTCTCTGTTCTTCAGCTGCTCCTTCCTGCTTTGGGACAGAGTTAAAACCACTCCAGCGGAGGGTTTTTGCAGGATATGAGTGTGGACTCCCCATAAGAAACCTTCTCTGATGACTTGGTAGATCTGCCCACCCAAGAGCAGATTGGTGGGGTAGTATTGACAGGGAGCCCATTACTGTGGGTCTTCAAGATGGCTGTGACTTCTCTGTTCTTCAGCTGCTCCTTCCTGCTTTGGGACAGAGTTGGGGGGACAATGCTGGAGAAGAGAAACATTAGCCCCTACTTCTCACCCCAGAAGAGGACTCAGTGTGTTTGGGGGCTAACACGAAGACTCTCCAGATGGTAACTAATTTGGTGAGATGTTATGTGGCAGCATTGATTGAAACCCTAGGATCTTGATTGACCAGAAGGAGACAGCAAAAAAGGAGTATAGATCAGGAGGTGCATGGCTCTGCATGGTTGCATTTCAACCTGATGACAAGATTTAGTTCTTGATCTATTAGGCATCTGAAATATTTTCTCAAGCCCTATATAAAGGCAACATATAGGGATATTTGGATTAAAAATCTATGCTTAAAAAGAAATCCTTACCTGTGCTGCAAATAATGCTTTGGAGTATTAACATCAAGAGAAAATGTAAAAATATTACTTTAACCAGTTACATTTGTTCACATTTTTCATGTGGACTGCGATAAACTGTAGAGTCAGTTTCAGGTGTTTACAAGATAATTTTTTTTTCTTTCATGTGG